GGTTAGGATTAGGGTTAGGGATAGGGTTAGGTTTAGGGTTAAGTTTTGGGTTATGGATGCGGATAGGGTTAGTGTTAGGGTTTGGGATATAGAAAGGTTTATGTACAAGGTTACTGTTAGGTTTAGGGATTAGGATGGATTTAGGAATAAGGACAGGGTTATGGTTAGTGTTTAGGATAAGGATAGGTTTATGTTTACCATTAGGTTATGGTTAGGAATTTTCCCATGTGACACCCGGGAAGTGCCCCGCCTCTCTCCCTGCCCAAGGGTTGGGGGTCCTGCCCGGACCCTCCATGCTCTTTGCTGAAATACCTTTGGGCCCGGGGGGTCCCGCATTTCCACGGACTCCTGATGGGCCTGGATCTCCTGCAAATTCAAACATGTCAGTGAGCAAACTCTGGGGACCCTGGCCCTTCAGGCCCCAAGGTTTGTCCCTGGGGAACCAGAGGGAGGGGACACGGACCCCAGCCCTCCTAGTCCCCGCTGTCCAGTCAGAGACCAGGACCTGCGACCAGGGGCCTTCCCAGGGGACCAGGCCTGAGCCCAGCTCTGCCCTCGTCCAGGGACCCTCGGCGTTTCCATTGGCTGTGACTGCCGGGCCAACTGTGGTTGCCCCTGGAGACAGGCCCCCCGGGCTCAGCTGGGACCAGGGAGGGCAGGGAGGACAGTCCAGCCGGGTCCCCCGCAGCGGGTACGTCATCACCAGGAGCCGTGCTGGCCGCCCACACAGGCCCGGCAGCTCTGTGGTGGCCCGAGACCAGCTCCCTCCCACGGGGACCCACACCCCAGTGGACCAAGCCCCAGGCCCCTCCTGAGACCTGCTGGGGGCCCTGCCTTGTCGGGTCTCACTGGGCAGGGACGAGGCCCAGCCCCCCTCCTCGAGGAACTCACCTTTCCTGCCCTCGGCGCCTGCCTCTCCCTTGGGCCCCGTGGCCCCGGGCAGCCCTGGGCAGCCCCGGAGGATGGTGAGCTTGTCGGCCTCCAGCCCCAGCACCTTCACTTCTGCAGAGAAGCGCGGGTGACCATCAGGGTGAGGACCTGGGCCGCTGCCCCCCCTCGTCCCCCTCCCGAGGGACCTGCCACCGTGGGTACCCGGCCTGGCAGATGGCTGTGCCTGGGCCTCCTTCCTCAGCTGGAGGGCCAGCCTGGAGGGGAGGCGTCCCTCCTCTGCTGAGCCTGTGGTCGGTCCTCCCCCAGGTGATGGGCCCGGCCTCGGGGTCCACCTGCACCCGGGAACCCCGCTCCTCAGGCTGTGTGTCCTCGGGGAGTCACTCAGCCCCTCTGGGCTCTGTGCCCGGCTGCAGAGTGAGAGCAGAGGGAGGCTTTGGGGGGTCAGAGTGGCCGATGCAAATGTGTGAGACCTTAGGAAGAGCTCCCCCCACTGCGGCCCGTCCAGTGAGTGCAGCCTCCGCATCTGTGAGACAGCGGGGGGCGGGGGCAGTGCCGCGTGTCACCCCCATTCCTCGGGCACGTGGCCTGGGAATCCCGGGCTGGAGGGTGCGGAGGGTGGGGGTCCCTGTGATCCGAGGACACACAGCAGCCCCCGCAGAACTGGAGCCAGAGATGGACCTGCCTCTCAGAGTTCAAGTGCGTCCATCACAAATAAAAAGCCTCTAGGGAGGGTGTTGTGACCAGAAACCCTCCCAGGTCCTAGCCTCTCCCACAGCCAGAGACTCCGGAGGGAGGGGGTGGCACCCGCTTGAGAGCTCCTGAGCCAGGGAAGGAGGTCAGGGTTCGTGGGGACCCTGGGACCCTTGCCCTCTTGCTATGACACCTCAGGGAGCAGTGGGGCCGCCTGTCCCCCGAGGCTCAAGGCTCCCAGCGCTGGGTGCGACCTTGCACTGACCCTGGCTGGGGGAGGGGGCGCTCTCCAGCCTCCCCCCCTCACACCACCTGTGCCCCTCGTGGGAAGACCCCGAGGCAGGTGCCCCTGCAGAGGGTGGTTAAGCCTCAGTCTGAAGAAGAATGTTCTGGAAGGACCCGGCAGGAGGCTCGCAGTGGTCCATGCCCAGGCTCTTGGCTCTGGGACCTTGGTCAGGCCAGCCCACCTAGTGCCTGGCTCACCTGGACAGTTGTCGGCCGTGGAGGCTGCAGTGCCCAGGAGGGCGAGGGCCAGGACCACGGTTCTCATGGCAGCGGCTGTCCAGTGTGGCGACATCCCGGGTTCCGCTGGCAAGACAATCACACCTTTTATTGC